TGTGAACACAGAAAAAAATTGAGGGCATGATTCGAGCAGGCTAAGTGGTCGTAAAAAAAAAAAAAAGGCACACTGGTGCTCTTCGGTCAAAAATGACCGACCATAGGAAATGAATGGGAAATCGACAAAAACATAAAAGAAACACAACATCAACATTAAGGCCTTGTCAAGTACGTCTCTGTTCTAATAAGCCTCTCCAGATCTTTAGTCTGCCGCAGCTAATTAAAAGTGATTTAAGTGATTATGAAGGAGAAAGAGAGAGACGCATACACATACTCAACATCACGTCTCTCGCTCACACATGCACATACGGACACTGAAATTAGACAGCCAGTGTTGTTTAGGGCGAGTGTGACACGATAGCAGGAGGTTGTTCTAAAAAGTAAGAGAGCAAATGGCCAGCGTGACATTAGTGTGAAAATCTGTCCCCGGGAACGGCAGCGGGAATGATTCATATGATTTATATGATTGGCTGTACAGTGAGTTAAGGACATTGCTTTTTTTAAGAGCATCACACAGAGACATTTTTCCTCAGCATCCCCCAGAACATCCCCGTGCACAAAAAAGCATCGGCTAAGGAGGAGAGGACAAGAGAAAGCAAGTTTTTTTAATATGACTATGTCAATATTTCTGCTTGTTGTGTTGATCCTGTTATTGGTTTGTCATTTTTCTTGTTTTAATAGCCTCATGCATAGAAGTGCTGAGAAGGTGAAAGGCTATTGGCGAATTCTCCTGAGAGCTCATTAAGAGACTCCTTACTGTCTAACCATGAAGACTGACACCAGATGCTTCAATGTATCTGATATTCGGGCAGGTTAAAGATGGTGCAAGCTCTTATTAGACCAGAACATGCTTAGTAACAGTTTGAAATGGAAAACCGTACCCATAAATCGTATATTACAAGTCCATCATAAGGTAAAATGTCTCTTTTCAGACCAAAACTTGATGTGAAAAAGCAAAACGAGACGCAGACTAATGGTGTGTTCACACCAAGAGTGAAACCGCAAATTCACCACATTACAGCAGACGGTGTAATGAGCCAGTTTAACAGAGTTTTTCAGAGTGAATCCAATTCAAATATGTTTCAAATCCATTTAGTTGTAAAAATTCTTACAAATCATTCAATGTGTTTTGAAATCGGATGCTTTTCAGTTTGAACCGTGAGATTGCACTGGATTTGAAAAATGAGTCGGAAATTGGGTGCAGTGAACAAAGCATTGACTAAAGGGCTGTTCACACCAAGAATGAGAACTATAACAATAAAGTTTTAATTCTGTTGAGAATAGGGAAACCCACACTACAATTATAACAGAGAACTGATATCGCTGGAATTATGTTGAATCACTTTCTGAATGTTTTTTTCTCTCCCTTTTTCCAGCAGATGAACGATAAAAACTTTCAGAATCAGCATCAACTTGACAGGCTTTAAAGAGCTTGAGAACTTAAAGTGGTATACGTCATGACTGCAGCTCACACTCATAATAAACAGAATGTTATCGTCCATTGGTCCGTATGCTAATATAGTTATTGCTATAGTTATCGTTCTTGGAGTCAACGGGCCTTAACCTACATGACTATATGAGGTGAATCAACTCATTGATGGTGTAAGTCACTGAATTAATTCATCTCATACAGTCATGTATTGACAGATCAGACTATAACACACTGACTAATACCATTGTGTCCGTCAGTTGCGAGCGGATAGGGCAAGTTCAACACTTCAGCACACTGTATCGCACGTTTGCGGTTTAGTCATGCTCACCTTCATGGCTTTAGTATGCTTTGAGTTCTCTCAAAAGACATGATGGCAGGTAGAGAGGGAGTGAGGACCGCTTATACAAAATTATCCCATCATCTACTGGCCTCCATCTTTTGTTCGCTTGTATTTGCACAGAACTGTAGAGCATAACTCCCACACTACTGAACATTGAGTGGCGTTCATGCAATGAATAACACTTCAGGGTTTTTTTTTTTTTGAGTAGTTCTTCTCTCAAATGTACACACACAAACAAATTCAAACAGCTCCGCCATGATTTATGCACACTGCAAAAGATCACGACTCCAGAACAACACCGAATTCAATTCCTCATCTGACCTACTGACACAAAAATAAGACATTCAACCATTAAGAATGGCACAATTTCTGCCTGCTTCGTGAAGTGGAACTGATGGTGAATTAACATATAGTAAACATTATAATTCTCATTATGTACTTCTTATGATAACCATAGTTTTTTAATCTAAGGATAAAGATGATCTTATTAGCCTAAAATGTACACAGGACTCCAGCAGCTTTCTCTGAACGAAGGTACAACCCGAGTCTGCCCAGAAAAGACATTCTGTATTCTGCATAATTATAATATTATGAAAAATATTTCATGAATAAAAATGTTTTATCTAAAATGTAGCCTTCGCAGAAGGTAATTGAAATAAAGTTGAATATAAAATAAAGATGGAAGATATAATCTTAAGCTTGAAGTGTTGCTTTGGCAACTAACTGAATTAAATAAGTGGAAGTAATAAAATGACTAAAACTAAAACAGAAATAAAATACATTAAAGATAATTAGAACTATTTAAAAAGAAACCGAACTAACAATAATGACAAAAGCACATTAAATTACTAAAATTTAAAAAGGAAAGCGAATTCAAAATATGAATACTCTAATAATATATCAATAACACTAAAATAACATGTCTTCAAATGCCTTTCAGGCTCTTTTACACATTTCTGCAGAGAAAGAGGGTGAAAGCTCAGAGAAAAGCAGAATTACTCACGTGTGCCATCAAAGCGCTTGGCGATGGTGTCAAGAAAGGTGTTCTGAGGGGCCAGGAGCCCTTTCATCACTGGCATGATGACAAATCCTCAGATCTTCATCGCACACTGAACAAGAAAGAAAAGCGAGAGCGAGAGAAAGTAGAGGGGAGCGAGGTGAGGTGATTTTGACCGAGGTTCAAAGTGTGTTGGTGTCTGGCTTATACACGGTGTGAATGACTGCTTGTTAAGGACCGTCTCAGTTCAGCAGCAGCAGTTTCACTTCAATCCTCCATGTCTCTGCACCTCATGTTTAGCAGCACTCAGAAGAAGCTACACTAAGCTCATGGTAGGATGCATTCTTGTCGTCCAGCAGTCTATGTCCGAATGGTTAACTTCGTGGGGATATTGTGCTTACTTTCTACAGCCCATCAGGTTGGTACAGCTGTTCTGCACGCTCTCTTCAATGAAAGAATATGATTTTATGTCGTCTTCTCTCAAAAGCACCTCAAAACATAGACTTCACCTCTTTCCTTGTTGCTTGCATTCAATCTCTGTCTCTTCAATGCCTCACTTCAGTCTTCACACAGCTTGTACACAACTCACTGTTTCTTTGAATTCCTTTTTTCCTTGGTTTCTTAGGTTGTCATAAGGTAGGATGATTCTTTTCATCAGTGGTGTCCTTTCTGAGGCAGGTGCACAATCTCTAATGCATCTCTCTTCCACTCACTGCTATCTCTCTACTCTTCTGTCTGTCTGTCCCTCCCTCTCTCTCTCTCTCTCCCACTCTCTTTAAAAATGAAGAAGCACAAAGAGCAACAATGAAAATGGCTCAAGTAGATCACAGTGAAAATGGTTTGTCAAAAAAAAAATATATATATGATTTCTATATACTGTATATACATTTCAAACATTCTCAGATATAGAAACTTAATTATATAGCCTATATATATATACAAATGTGTATAGTAAATTGATTAAAAATTTACAATAATTAAATTTACCTTAACAGTAAAACACTGATTGTTGCTGTGTGGATATAATTTTATATTTGTTTGCGAGACAATAATCTGCCTGAAAGCCTGCAGAAAAATCTTTTGCATATAACCAAATTAATATGGCACAAGCAGATCTCTCCAGTGACTGAGCGACAGTTATAGAGGCTGAAATGGGAGCAGTACGGAGTCTTAAAACCACAAATAAAGACACTTTAAGGGCTGAAGTGGGTTTAAAGGGACAGTGACATTACTAGAAACACAAGAATTAGGTGCAGAGAAAGAGAGAGGTGGTGCGAAAGGGAAAGCACAACAGCCATCTGTGCTGAGCAGATATTTAAATATATATCCAGACAAAAGCAACATCTCCCACAACACACACAGGAATTTCTATAAGGGTGGAATTTGAAATGATACAGCTCTGGGTCAATACTTACTGGCAGGGCTTTAGGAACTATCTGGAAATGTGTTGTTTTCACAGGCAGTGGGGGAGGGATAAAGCATGGGTCTTTATGAAAAGCACTAATCATCTCCTAAAGAGTGTCAGGATGAGGCAAGCTTTCACATTGATACTGGGGAAAGTTGTCACGTTTGTATATTTCATGAACCATTAAATATCACATATAGGCCTTATATTTTAAATATCACCCCTTAAGCTTTGTGAGTTTTTAATATATTTCTCGACAACAATTTTTTCCCTCAACTTTATTGTAGTGGTATTTTACAATATTTACATCGCCTGCCATCTGCTGACCACAAAACATACTACACATTTCTGAAATTCAACAAATCATCTTTATAAAACAAGAAAGATAATGGTTCTCCCCTGACCGCGACTATAATAAAATGCGCATCATTAACATCTATTAAATTTAGTTGTGTTTTATTAATGAGAAAATTTCACCAAGCCCACTGAGACAGGTTAACTGTTCACTATGGAAAGCAAATGATTTCGTAAAGCCACAAGCTAATTGAGTTGTAATGTTTTTTTTTTTTAAATGGATTTTTTTATTTAGGTAGGCTACGTAAAAAAAAAAAAAAAAATACGTACAACTTTTTATAAAACACACAGCACACATGTGATTTATGTTCGAAAAAACGTTAAGTCTCTTCAAGTAGCTAATGTTAACCACAAACAGTTTTTTAATCAAATCAAAAATGCTATTTTAAAAACCCATTAAGAAGCCTTCCGTATTGGCAATTGACGTCACGAATGAACAGCTTGACTGTGGCTTTTAAAATCGACAAGACTCATCGTTTTTCATACGCGTCCAAATCTTCTAGTACCGTGGTGGGTATCAGATATTTCATCGGACGCTCCAGTCCGAGTCTCACGGGCGCGCTCTCGGTCCCTCCCGCGTGCACGAGCGGCAGGTGCCCCCCGTCCTCGAACCTCTTTCCCATAGTCAGGATTCCCGCGGCTTGATTCCGTGAGCCGTGCAGGAGTTGTTGCAGGCGGTCTTCGACGCGTCTCTCGCCCACTTTACGTTTGCCAAGAGTCAGAATCCCGACAGCAGCGTCGTTATTAAAGCGACCGAAATGCCTGGCGATAGAAGTATCGTTTCGGATTCCCGCGCGGCATAGCAGCTCGTAAAATTTGCAGGATCTCGAAGTGCTCGTGCAGCAGGAGGCCACGCCCTCAGCGTCTCGCGCCACGTGCGCCACCAGCGCCATGAAGAGGAGCAGTTGAACTCTCTGTGGTGAAGAGAAAACGCATTCAATAAATGCTGAATATTATATCATAAATTTGAAGACGTTTTAGATAATAACATTCAAATCACAAATGCAAATGATTTTGTATGGTAACTTGTATCTGAATTTTATTATTGAAAATAATTGTGTTTTTATACCATTGCTGAGTTTGTTGCTGACAAAAATATAAATCCTTTACCACTCTAAATTAAAATAAAATAATACAAATCAGCTACAAGGGGTTCGTTAAACAATGCAACTGATTACGGTTTCTTCTTTATCTGATTGTTACAAAGGAAGTTTACTATTTTGTTTTCCACCGAATTACTGAGTTGGTAACTTACATGAAAATAAAAAAAATCTTTTCCACACTTAAATAAAACCATATAAAAGACCAACCAGCAATAAAATGGGTTTATTTTCAATATTGCAACTGTATTTGTTTGTTTTTATTGAACATTATTTTCTTTATTTCATTATTTTCAATGTCCTGATAGGTAAAAATTTATTTTTTCATCCATAATTAAATAAAATAAAGCTAAAAGTAAATATATATATAAAACAAATAAATCATCTTTATGACACTTTATGATCAGCATTAATGTCAACGGTTTAATCCCCAGATGTAAACCTTAAAATGGTATATAGTCTTCTGTTTAAATTGCTGAAATAACATATGAACTCTTACCTTTGCTGTGCAATCCATGAGTCTGGCTGCTGCCCCGGTCTTGTAGACAAATGTCATGTAGGCTATCTGATGGACTTGATGTTTAAAGTCGATGGTCCTTTTACACTCTGAGATGGGACCAGTGTTTTTATACAGACATGCCACCCACTGCTCCAGCCTCTGAAGTTAATTATAGGCACAAATGACACTGACAATATACCCAGCTGATATTACCACCTTTATTTCTTCAATGTCATGTTTCTCATTTGAAGCTGGATTATGGTACAATAAAGAATTGTTAGGGTTGTTAGCGTCTTTGTCATTAGCGTGTAACCAGGATTGCCTGTATCCAAGTAATTGTACATAAAGCTTTTTAAGACTATTATAGACAAGCTTCGTTAGCGAATGCCAGCAGAATGAGTGTGACAAGGCCTTGACTTAATTAGTTGCAAATGCAGAGGGTCCTGATACAGTAACAAAAGGCTGAATGGAACAAAAGAGCAGCAGCGTCACTAACAAATAAAGAAGGGGAATATGGATGGCAGGATGCCTTTGTGTGAAGTAGAAGGTCAGAGAGCGGTTAGTTAATGATGAACGTTACTCTGAACACATACAGTACACCTGCATTACACCATAGAGGAAGGTCCATTTATTTATATGTTGTGGATTGCATGAATAATGGTATTCACATTATATGTAAATGGGTGTCTTTGGATGGAGTCATAGGACACTACAAGAGAACCCAGACATATTCTGGAGTCTTTCAGACGGTTAATTAATTATAAAGAAATGAGTAGAGAAATGCAAACATGAAGGAATTCAAAATTGATGCCACAAATATCATCTAAGTTGCATGTCTGTGTATAAATGGTTTGTTCCAACGTCATGGGTTTGATTCCCAGAAGTCGCACTGACAAAATTATTTTTATGAGTGCACAGTAAGTCCAAGACATTTGTGATCTTCTGTCATCTACTCTAATGTTCAAAAGTTCAGGGCCAATTAGATTTTTTCTTTAAAGAAAGCTATTACATTGATCTAAGTGACAGTAAAAACGTAATGTTAGAAAAAAATTCTATTTTTAATTTTTTTATTTGGATTTTACATTTGACAAAAAAAAAAAACAGAAAGAAAACAAGATATATTTAGAAAATATATACAAATCAATGAATGATAATATTAACAATACAAATTATTAATAATTAGTAATATCATCAACCATTAATAATGATGGGGGGGGGGGGGGGGGGGCTAAGAACATGAAAATATATCAGTTTCCTCAAAATATTAAGCAAAGAAGCAGAACTGTTTTCAACATTGATAAGAACTGATTGATTTCTGAAGGATCGTGTGACACTGAAGACTGCTGAAAATTCAGCTTTGTAATCACAAGAATAAGTTACATTTTTAAATGTAAATTGTAATATTATTTCGCAATATTACTATACATACAGTATTTTTTATCAAATAAATGCAGCCTTGGTTAAGAGAGAAAATAAAAATCTTACCAACCCCAAACTTTTAAACGGATGTCATTTGATATTCTGAAAATGTAATGCAACACAAGTTTTAAAAAATGACCTGGAGACATTTCTGTTGTCATGTGGGCTTTATAAACAACAGACATCATCTCAGTAAGATGTTATTTGACATTAATGTGACAGTAAACACCCAATTCTTTGACCCAAACTATATCTCCCAAACATTGACATTTCCTGTTCCTGTGAGGTGTCCAATAATGAAAACTGGTACACTGGTAAAGAATGACACCTGTTTACGCAATTATAAAATAACTTCAATTTTAAATAACACCAACCCACAATATTAACAGCAGGAATAACAATAATTATGAACAAGGTGTGTTGTGTTCTTAACGAGATGGTCAAGTGTCTTTACTTTGACTTAAAATGATTCATTCTTCATTTATTGAAATATTTATTTGCTTTTCTGATCATCAGTGGTGCTTTTCTCAACAACTGAGATCCGTATTTACCCAGCGTTTCTAATCTTACCAGTAAAGCCTAGCTCAATGGGACGTGTCCAGTTTCCAGTTTAAAAACAATATACACACTTTTCCTTATTCAAAATACTTCACATACGCATCACACATACATATATATATATATATATATATATATATATACACACACACACACATACACACACACACACACATGACACCTGGAGAAAGGCCCTTTTAGGACCAAGGTGTATTGAGCTGACAGTTTTAAAATGCATAAAAATGCGTAGAGAAGCCAGCAGGGGGAGTGAGAGAGTCTTCAGTTGGTTCTATCATGTTAGTGTGAACTGAGGAGGTGTAAACTATGTTGGTGTAAACCTTTGCCTTTTTTACATGTACTTTTTATTTTCTGTTCTGCTCTGTTTCCCGAAGCTCTCTTTGTTCTCTTTGTTAACTCAAAATGCTATACTTCTCTTTCAGCTGAGTAGTTTTGCACTTTTTGAAAAAATCTTTCTCAATCTGGAGGTTTAAGATTGATTCCTCCATGCGGTTTTGACCCATTTTAGACTTACTGCAGCCTGACATCAAATTTCACAAAAGAAGATATTTTGAAGAATGTTTCAACTGTTTTTATAATTCAATTAAAGTCACTGGTCTCCAAAACATCTTTGGATCCCATTGACTTGCACTGTGTGGACAAAAACCGCAAAAACGATTCTTTTTCAGCATATCTTCTTTTGTGTTCCACATAAAGGTTTGGAACGACATGAGGGAGAGTAAATAATTACCGAATTTTCATTTTTGGCTGAATTATTCCTTTAAATGAGTGCATATGATTGAGATTTGGGGCTTGTGGGAGTCGTGGCTAGAGAAGGTGATCACAGCTAATTTTCAACAGCAGCTGTGTCACAGGAGTGCAGGTCACTGTAATCCTTTAAAACACGACTATACGGTGGGGGGGGGGTAACAATTTAAGACCCGAGCCCGGCAGGCATTGCGGAGCTGGGAAGAAAGTAAAGCGCACTGATCAACATTAAACTGTCTCCAGTGTGTCCTTCACTGACTCAATGCACCTGAATCTTTCCTTTACTGCTCCCTTTCTCTATAATAAAGACCAGCTTCCTCACAATGTGTATAAACTGAAGAAAAAAACCCAGATTGTTTTCTTTCTCTCTCTCAGTGCAGGGTGGTACTGTCCGTCTCAGTCTCGTGGATGGTGTGGAGGGGCCGCGGATGGGGCGGCAGTAGAGGAGAGGCAGGGGACGTGGAGGCTCCGTTCTTGGCCAAGCCGCATGAGTGAGCAGCACACTGAATCTGTCGCAAAGTGTCTACCGCTTCTCCTTTCGCATGCTTCAACAGGTCTGCCTGGCCCTAAAAGACAGGACAAAACAGAGAAGTTTAATCATTAATGTCCTCTCTAAGTCGAGAACTTTTGAAGTTGCAGTAAAAAAAAAAAATCCATCCAAACACACATCATTTTAAAAGTTATTAAAATTGTCAAAATAAATTCATAAATTAATGAAATAATAAAATGATAGTTTACATAGCATGTTTGTAATTGCAAATAAAACACCCTAAAAGAGGATTTGGCAAACTGTTCTGAATTAGATATTAGATATCATGTGCACAAATGAACTATCACAGATTTTATATAAAAATTCGATATTTTTTAAAGAAACTGTTTTGAAAAGAATGCCAGTGAACATAAACATAGGCGTCAGATAACCAAAGGGTTTGCGCAATAGAAACAAGATGAACAAAAATTAGACAGAAGATTGCACATCATGCCAGAACAAAATGTGAAAATGTATATAAAAGGTAATGTTTAATAAAAAATAAAAAAAAATAAAAAAAAACACTTGAAAGAAGTGCTAGATGAAAATACTGAGAATATAAAATCCTTATATGCACTGAAAGTATCCAGTCTGCAGGGGTCAGTCTAACACTAGGTGGTAAAGTCGGTGGCACTGCATAAACAACGGCAGAGCTAGAATATCCCCGATACCCTCTGTAAATCACCGCTCTTTCTGGAAACGTCCCAGAAAGGACTGGATGAAGGGGACAGAGACAGTGTAAAATGATGGGACAGGAAAGGGAGGGGAAAGAGGATCAGGACAGTTTGTCTTCTCATCCTGTGTGTCCCTTAAATCAGTATGTATGTATTTATGTGTGTGTGTGAGAAGACATTTTGAAGGGAAATAATAAATAAATGCTAATATACAAGGACATATTACCAAACCATGCAAACCTTCCCCTGCAAAACATGCACAACCACACATAAATTTGCTTTCTATCTTTCTCACAAGGACACCAGTTCTTTCCAGCCTCGGTTCTTGATTGTTATAAATCTGAGCGTTGGACAAAACTAGCGATTTCCCTGTCAAATGACTGGATAAGAAATGATTAAATATGATAGAGTGAAGCTTATTTGTTTATTTCAGCAGTTAAAATCCAGATGTAACCAAACTCATTTCTCAAAATGACTTCCCTTGAGTTATCATTTATGAGTCAAACATGAACCAGCCGATGAAGAGCTTTCAGGACATAGTGTAAAACTGCATCATGAGGTCACTTGGCGTTTCTATTAGAGAACCAGAGTAAAACAGAATTAACTTTGCTAAATTTGATGACAACTCCCAAGTAGAGCACTGCAACATCAGCTGCACTGCGTTTTTACTCATTCAGACTGCAGTGACTCTCTTTTATACGCAGGACAGGACAGGTGAGACTAGTACAGGCGGCTTTTCCTGCATGTGCTCCAATATGGATCCTCGAAGGACACCTGCATGTGTGCCCAGAGCTGAAGAGGCTCCTTGACCTGGATAGAGGAGTCTTTTGCCATAAATAAGTTATACATTTTAAAACGGATGAATTATGCATACGGGCGTGACGCATATAGACTCTTAGGCTGTGAGGAGAAGAGAGGCTAAAAGCACTGCAGAGAGACAAGGTGGTACATACTTTATAAAGCCTGGATGAAACGTAATGGGTGACAGTTTGATGTCACTTCCTGGAGTAGTGACTCGTCTAACTCCTCCAAATGTGTCACACGAGGTCAAATTAAGCATAAAATGAAGTGGTTTAAGAGCACAATGAAGCACACAGTATTTCAAATGGATGATTAGGCATTTATTTCTTTTTTT